GTCCCTCCCCTGGCCCTGCTGCCACCCTGGTGCTGCTCCAGGCCAGGATGCTGCTGGAATTCTTGGCTCCATCAATCCAGGAGCAGTTTCCGGCCGCTCTTCGCCAAGCCTGGAGCGTTGCATGGGGCCGGTGCGGCTCAAGTGGCACGTCTGGAGTTGATCCTCATCCCATGGATCCAGGAGCTCCACGTCACCACTTGGGCACAGCTCCGGTGTCCCCATCCCCACCTCTCCCTGGGCTCTGCCATCACTTCCCAACTCAGCGAAGAACCCACCTCTCCACGAGGGCCAAGCGGAGCAGCAGGTCCTGCCCTGCACTCACCTGTCCCCAGATCCATAGTGTCCTCCCTGCATCGTGTCTGTATCCATGTGGGACACCATGTCCAAGCGCTGGTTCATCTTCCCGAGGACGCCCTCGGCACCGCTGGAGCCATCCGGGTTCATGTCCACGTCCGAGTTGGCCATTTCCCAGGAGTTCGACGTGGCCATTCCATAGCCATAATTCCCAGAGTTATCCTGGCTGTAGCCGTAGCTGTAACTGTATCCCTCATAACCTGGAAGAACAGGATTAAGAGCTGGCTTCACTTCCAGCTTCCGGTTGGATTCAGATGCCACAGGGAGGCCAAATAATTCAGACCAACTTCAATTCCTCCTTATTTCACCCAGAAACTTGACCCCATTGAGCTCACGATGGTTTGTGGGATCGATTCCCTCATGGAGCCCCATAAAACACAGCCACATTCCATACATCCCTCTGCCACACCCGCTCCAGAGAGGAAGAAACCCCCTGCCCCCAGCAGAGCCTCCATAAGCCCCATTTCGGGTTAACACAGAGACAACCTTCAGCGGGGTTTAAGCTGTGGGTGTTCAGATGGACACAGGTAGGACAGAGCTTCCGCATGAGCTGCTCTCCAAGCCCTCAATCCAATGGGATGAGGCTCTGGAGTGTGTTTGTCCTCTCCAGGCACAACACAGCTTTGAGGAAGGGAAAACCACTTTGGGCCCAATGTTTTCCACATGTTTTAGAGCGGAAAAGGACGGAGAAGCTTCTCCTCCTGCTAAAAACCACAGGACTGGAGGGGGAAACAACCCCAAACCCTCAAATACTGTGCTGGAAACAGCTTTCCTGAGCCACTGCTCCAGTCACTTGCCTCTGTTTGTCCCGGAATTCCAGTCTCCATAACCTGGAACAGAACAGAAAAGCCATCAGATGAGTTCATCGCTACCGTGGCTGCGGAGATTCCCGTTTCCCAGCACGGAAACGGAACAACATTCCCACTAATCCACGAATCCTGCCCCAAGCAGGGAAGAAACGAGGCCTTCA